CAGGCCCCTGCACACCCACGGCTCCCCACAGGCACGGACTCCAGGCCACGGGGCTGGGACCAATCCGCTCCTCTCCCACCACCACGACCGAGCCCCAGGATCCGCACCCCCGGTGCACGGCGCGGGGCTCGGGCAGACCTCCTCTCCCACCACCACGACCGAGCCCCAGGATCCGCACCCCCGGTGCACGGCGCGGGGCTCGGGCAGACACCCCGGGATCTGCACGTGACCCCCCATGGAGCCGAGGCTGTGTCAAGGGCAGTCCCACAGCCCCCCGGGACTACCCGCCGCGGGGGTCCACCTACCACAGGCTGTGAGCAATGTGGGGGGCGGGTGTGAGAGGGGTGTTCGCAGGGTGGGCCGCACATGGACAACGACACTGCTCCACACCCACCCACACATCCCCACAAACACCCCCACAGGCCCTACAACCCCCTCACGGCCCCCAACAATGTACAAGGGAACATACCATTTTGAGCCATGCCGTGAGTGAGAGATCAGGCACTCTGTGTGTGTGTGTAAGATCAGGCGGTGTCTGTGTGTATGTGTGTGCATGTGTGTGTGTGTATAGCTAAAATCTGGCACTCTGCATGTGTGTAGTTGTGAGACTGAGCGTGTGAGTGAGAGATCAGACTGTGTGTATGCGTGTGACTAGGCACGCTGTGCATGTATATGCATGTGTGTGTGAATGGGAGAGATCAGGCACTGGGTGTCTGTGAGATCTGGCTCTGTGCTTGTGTGCATGCATCAGTGTGTGTGAATGAGAGAGATCAGGATGTGGGGGGGTGTTTGAGAGAGATTAGGCATTCTGTGTGTGTGAGATCACATCAGGCAGTGTGTGTGTGCACATGTATGATTAGGCACTGTATGAGATCAGGCACTGTGTGCGTGCGAGTTCAGGCACTCTGTGTGTGTGCTTGCATGTATAAGAGAGACATTACACAATGTGTGTGAGAGACAGATCAGGCAGTGTCTGTGTGTGTGTGTTCAGTCACTTTGTGCATGTGTGCTTGAGTGTGTGTGAATGAGAGAGACCAGGCACTGAGAGTGTGTGTGTGTGAGAAAGAGAGAGTGATCAGGCAGTGTGTGTGTGTGTGTGTGTGTGTGTGTTTGCATGTGTCTGTGTGTGAACAAGCACTCTGGGTATGTGTGTGTGAGATCAGGTAGTGTATGTGTGCATTTGTGCATGTGCATTGTGTGTGTGAAATTGGGCAGTGTGTGTGTGTGTGTACACCCAGGCAGCTCCCACCTGCACCCCGGTGCCCCCGGCTCCCTGCAGCCTGCCTCCAGCAGCACGGCCCCCTCGCACAGGAGCAGGGGGCCCTGGGACCAGGACAGAGGCATACCCATGACATTCAGCCACGCGCCGTGTCCCGGCAAAAGAAAACCACGCAAATAAACCCTGCTTTCACCAGGGAGCAGCAAAGCAAACAACACACCCATGTGAAGTCCAGCTTCACGCTGCACCTTGGCTCCCGCTCCCAGCCCCTCCCTGTGACACCGGGAAGGGGAAAGCACAAAGGCACGGCCCAGGGATCCACGCTGCCTCGCAGGAGAGGAGATGGCGACTGTGGCGGGACAGACGGATGCCTGGGCCCTACGCCTCAGGGCCCTGCTCCTGCCTCTGCTCTTCCTGGAGACAGCAGGTAAGTGCCGACCCCCTGATCTGCTGGGGCGAGGGGTGGCAGGGCCGGGCTGTGGTGGCCGTGTTTGACCCCGGTGCAGGGGCAGCCAGGTGCCGTGTCGTGAACACGCCTAGAACAGAGAAGTCCTGGTGGCCCCACGTTAGCCTCTGGTGCTGCCAAGGGCAGCTGTGTCAGACATGGGCTGTACAAGAGCATGGAGGGGTGTGCAAACCAGCAGGTGCAGGGAAAACCCCATCCGTGGTGCCCAGGTGTCCCAGGACACTGAGACCTAGAGGAGCTGATGGACCGGACCCCAAAGCGCACACGGCCCCTCCTGCTGTGCACCTTTCCCTGCCCGGGGCTGCGGGTCTAGGCTGTCGGGAGCACTGGGGCCCTGGGAGCAGACCCCACGCAGGGAGCAGGAGGGGCCGGGATCCCAAGAGGCCCCCAGCCCCAAGCCTGCCTTGGGGTCTTTCTCCCAGGGCAGGGAAAGCCCTGGGATGACTCCCCTCTGCTCCTCAGAGCCACGGGGCTGTGGAGAAGGGTAAGAGCTGGCCTAGACCCGGTCCCAGACCCCTCCCAGCTCCTGGCACAGGATGGAGTGTTACACAAATCATCAATTGCTCAGATCATGAGCGAGACATTATAAAGGGGAATAAGGCAAGGTGCTGTGTTTATTGATTACATGAGTTAGACATAGAGGTTCAGGCACACCGTTCATACAAACGCACACAAATCATACACATCATTACGCACAGGCATACACGTACACAAAACAACCATTCTATCTACACACACACACCAGATGTAGTTACCAGCAAGAGTTGCTCAATTTCAGCCCAGGGCTTCTTGAGTAGATGATGATGATTTGATGATAGCAGATTTGATAACAGCTGGAGCGGGGTGAACAGATACATCTGTGCTCCGATGAAACAGCGGTAGAGAAAGAGACTCACCCAACTGGGCATTTTCAAAGTGTTCTTTTATAGGGATTGACATCCTTTGTTTCAGTGCTTTGGGGGTTTTCATACCCAGCTTCTGTTTTTGTGGTCATTCTAATTCTTTTGACTTCAGTTCATCTTAGCCTTGGAGTGTTTTTGTTGCCCCTCTGGCAGAATTTTTTCTCCTGTTATCTCCTTTGTACCTTCGAGCTTCAGAGGGATTCTTCAGCCGTTTGTTAGTGAGTTCGTGGCGGGTAATTTGCATTTGGCGCCATGTTGCTTCCATAAGCAGTTCAATCTTCTCCCATCTCTATGCCATTCTCTCACCATTCACCCTTTTACACACACTCGTACATGAAGGCTATGCAGAGTTCATTCACTTATGTCAAGCAGAAGGATACGAAATGAAGTTTTAAATTTGCTTAAAGGACAAGACTAACATGGT